GCGGCTACAGGAAAGCTGGGGAGGGGCTTTTTACAAGGACTTGTAGTAATAGGACAAGGGGTACTGGGTGTGAACTGGAAGAGGGGAGATTTAGGTTAGACATTAGAAAGAAATCCTTTAGTGTGAGGATAGTGAGACACTGAAACAGGTTGCCTAGAGGAGTCATGGGTGTTCCATCCCTGGAAGTGTTCAAGGTTGGATGGAGCTCTTAGCAAGGCCGCTTCAGGAGAGGGGTCCATGGCTCCTCACAGCACCCAATGGACTTGGATTCTGGGGAGCACGTGGCAAACTGAAGAGTCTCTGAGCAGGAGCAGCCACAAGGAAGAAGGTGCAGGAAGAAAAGGGGCTGAGCTTCCAGTTTTCCTGGCTTTTACAGAGCATGGCTGGAAGGGGGGGAGAATACTGACCCCTCCCTGTTCTGAAATTCTCAGGTGTTTCGGGGCCCTAAGGACCCTCTCTCTAGTTCCTTTTATATGTGCCCAACACCATGCCAGGGTCACTTAAACCATAGCAAGTGGCTTACTATAAGATCTATCAGGCAAAATTTCTACTCGGATCAAAACAGATGTTGACAGAAGTGTGTATAAAACCTCTTATAAGTAAAAGATCACTTCAAATTATTGAATCAGAAACAATATTGGCTAATGAGCAGTATGAAAACCAAGAGAATCAGGCTAAGGCTGAGCTAATAACAAATTAATCTTTAAAAATTGTGAAAAAATCAGGTACAGAATGAAAACACACAACTGTCCAGGAATAGCTTCATTTTACAGAGATTTAAAGTTCATGGAATCTGAGAGCAGAACCCTTGAGTATTACATATGCATTTCAGCCTCACCTAATTTTACTTGGTTTCATCCCTCTAATCTTCCCATATATATTTTTCCCTACCCCGCCCCTAATTCTTTCTCTGAAACAACATCACTCCATAAATAACATAAATAATGTATCTAGTGGAAATACAAATTTCTCATAGCTGTCATTAGACAAACACCTGGACATCCTACTAGGAAGCAAGAAATGGCCATACAGGACAACCCAGGGTCAGCCAGTACAATTTTAGCAGCACAAAGACATGTGTTTCTGAGGATGCTTGGATAAAGATCCTGATCCAAGGGCAAACAGACATTTTCTAAAGAGCTTGGACCCTCCTAGGAAAGATGTTGCCCTTGAAGAGCAACAGAAATATGGAAACAACAATTTGGAAATTGGAAATACGGAAACACAGGATTGGTCAGGTTACAGTTTATGTGTCACATTGCATGACACCCCACACATCAACATCCCCCCTTCCTAATAATTTAAGTGCTAAAAATAACACCACATAAAAGGGGTCACTCTGGGGGAAGAGGGTTGAAATAGCATTAAGAGACCAGCACCACCCCACCCTAGAGTGCCAAAGAGGTAAGGTCCATTCACCAGAGCAGAAGGACCTATTTTAAAATTCATATTGAACTTACTTGAATTTAACTACTGAACCACCACAGACTGAGATGAGCTACTGGAGTGGAGGACTGAAGAATGGAGATGTTGGATTCAATCAGTTGGAAGTGAGGCACCCCTCTCTGATATAGTCTCATGCATACTGTCACAAACATGACTGAGAAATTCTAAGAGACAATAAGACTAAAATACCCCTGCCACTCTGGATGGGCCATCAAGAATCAGAGAACACAGATCAAAATTCTAACCATAACCTAACTCTACCAACCACTAACCTAACTTCACCAAGTCCAGTGCTAAATCCATGTTCCTAAGCCCCACATCTATATGTCTTTTAAATGGAGAATGCTCTGCACACTGGTGTCACTGGAAGTGGGAGGCAGGAGCACGGCAGAGCACATAGTCCTTGCCAAGATCAAGCTGGGTTTCAGGAGGTCTATCCGGGGGTGAAAGGGATCTCTCCACCACCCCAGCACGGGGAGCAGGCTGAGGAGCCAGCCTCCTGTTTTGCCAGCCATTCCAAGCTCACTGCTGCTAAGCCTGACCTCACAATCCCAGAGGATTCCCTTTGCCACGCTTTGCATGCCTGCGCTGCAGGATGGGTAACAAGAGGTGCCCTCTGCTCTTCCTAGAAGTTCCTGGAGAGGGCTTCATCCTCCAGGACCCAGGGATGTCCTAGTGGCACCTAAACCCTGGCAGCAGCAGAGCCACATCAACATCCCCCCTTCCTAATAATTTAAGTGCTAAAAATAACACCACATAAAAGGGGTCACTCTGGGGGAAGAGGGTTGAAATAGCATTAAGAGACCAGCACCACCCCACCCTAGAGTGCCAAAGAGGTAAGGTCCATTCACCAGAGCAGAAGGACCTATTTTAAAATTCATATTGAACTTACTTGAATTTAACTACTGAACCACCACAGACTGAGATGAGCTACTGGAGTGGAGGACTGAAGAATGGAGATGTTGGATTCAATCAGTTGGAAGTGAGGCACCCCTCTCTGATATAGTCTCATGCATACTGTCACAAACATGACTGAGAAATTCTAAGAGACAATAAGACTAAAATACCCCTGCCACTCTGGATGGGCCATCAAGAATCAGAGAACACAGATCAAAATTCTAACCATAACCTAACTCTACCAACCACTAACCTAACTTCACCAAGTCCAGTGCTAAATCCATGTTCCTAAGCCCCACATCTATATGTCTTTTAAATGGAGAATGCTCTGCACACTGGTGTCACTGGAAGTGGGAGGCAGGAGCACGGCAGAGCACATAGTCCTTGCCAAGATCAAGCTGGGTTTCAGGAGGTCTATCCGGGGGTGAAAGGGATCTCTCCACCACCCCAGCACGGGGAGCAGGCTGAGGAGCCAGCCTCCTGTTTTGCCAGCCATTCCAAGCTCACTGCTGCTAAGCCTGACCTCACAATCCCAGAGGATTCCCTTTGCCACGCTTTGCATGCCTGCGCTGCAGGATGGGTAACAAGAGGTGCCCTCTGCTCTTCCTAGAAGTTCCTGGAGAGGGCTTCATCCTCCAGGACCCAGGGATGTCCTAGTGGCACCTAAACCCTGGCAGCAGCAGAGCAGACCAACCCAGAGCCTGAACACAGCTCCAGCGCTTTCACACCTTGCCCATAGCTGGCAGAACCACACACTTGTCCTCTTTGCCATCGCAGGCATGTCCACAGCCTCCAGCCAGGAACATGCCATCCCACCTGCTGCTACCAGAGGCATGCCACAGAACCAGTTAAGATAAAAGGACAGGGAGCCTTCCCAAGCTGGGAATTTTCTGGATTGAGCAGCAAGTGCAACAGTCTGCCTGCAAGCCTGTTAGCTGCCTTGTATGGACACTGTCCCCCATGTCTTTCCCAACACAGCCTTTTGCCCCACCAGGCTCTTTAGATACCATGCCCCAGGCAGAACAAAACCCATTTCCTGACATCCTTCCTCCTCAGCACTGCTGTGCAATAATGCAATAATGAATATGAGCGTCTTAAGAATCTACAGGAATAGTTTTGAAGAGAGTTGACTTGGATTTTGTAGCTGATAAAACAGGTAAAACAAGAGAACATGAGAATTATGTATATTTGAGGAGGTCTGGGGGACTAGGTTTAGGGAGTCAAAGGTAGGGAAAAAGGGGAATCAATGAACAACAAAGTGGGAGGGAACAGAGGTTCATGAAGATCCACTAGGTACAATGTGGATTTCCTCTCATAGCTGAGTTAAGACACTGTTGCAGATGGGAGTGGAAGGTCTTAAGGTCACTTAAGAATCACTGACAAAAATCTTGGGAAAAGGTGATTTTAATACAAATTTTTGAAAGCGCCACTTAACAGAATTTGATGGCAAGGTTCAGTTTCTCACTTATGTGAAAGGGATGTGTTGGGGTTGGAATTGGACTGGTCTGACTTACACAAGGATCAGGGGAAATTATTAGTATAGGGATAGGGGAGATGGATTCAGGATCAAGTTGGAGTGACTAGAATGGGGATCAGGGAAAACAATGAAGAAGGCCTTTCCACTGAGTCAGGAGTTTCAGAGCGTACACCCTTGCTTTCTAAACTCCTCAGAGTTTAGGTATAGCTGTACCCACTTCTAGTTCCAGTGTTGGTCAACACTTTATGATTAAAGGGTTTAAGTGTAGGGTTTTCAGTGTAGTGCTTTAACACATAATTATGCATCTGGTGTGATTTGGAATAGCAGCAAATTGAGGTTGATTGACACTATTATAATGAATCACAAAATGGAGTATATGATTTCTAGCAGTACTTGATCAATTATCAATATTTTGTTATAATCAAGTACAGTGGTTCAATCAAAGATTTAACAAAGTTCTAAACTGAATTGCTCACATACAGAGACATGGCAAGATACAGAAGTTAGACTGTGTTAAGATGCTAATAAATTTTGTTGTCTAATGATGACTGAACTGCACAAAAGGAAGTTGCAATGAAACATACCACCAGTTCCTCTGTGAGATCAAATTATAGTACATTAATATAATTTTATATATTTTCTGCATGTATGAGAAGTAACAGACTATTTACTGTTTCCCACTGGATAGACTAACTTCCCTTGTGAGACACAAATACCAGCTTAGAACAATCCTAAGGAGCTCAAAAGGGCCTCATTTCAAGCTCAATATTTATAGGGTCACAAGATGACTGAATTGGGTCAGTATTTTTCCATGATAGCCACAATTTGAGTCAGGTAACTTTGGCAACTTTCAGAGTGGGCTTGTGATCCAAGCCACAGGGGTCTCAGGTATGTTTCCCAAGTAACAGGAGTTCCAGGTGCAGTTAGCAACTGCCTAATCACCCCAAATCACTGCACTTGCCCTAGGACAAGAAGGTACCCAATTGTTTCAACTCACTGCTCCAGTGGGCAAAGCTATGTCCTGCACCTATCTCTTATTAAAGTATTTCCTAACTCTTTTCTGGGTCAGGGCTCTCTACTCTGTGTCCATGTGTGTGTATGTGCGTCTGAATGCAGCAAATGGACTCAAGCCACAGGTCCCCGTGCAGGCTTGCACATGTGTGTGTGATTGCTAGTGAAGATGCAGACAAATGAGCTCGTGAGTAGGTAAGGGCACTTGAGAGCGGGTACGTTGAGTGGGTCTCTAAGGAAAGCTCTCAGTGTGAGAGTGCCTGTGTGTCTCATCTTCTTCTGTCCTTAAAAGAAACAAGATGCAAAGAGAGAATAAACACTCCACAGCAGATTGCTTTCACATTTAAGTGTCAACTCAAAATAGCAGTATTTGTTATTTAGAGGACATTCTCTTTATCAAAGCTGATGCATTCTCATGCATACAACTTTTTACACCTCTTTTTAATAAGTTTGCCTTCTTTAAAGAACTCCAGACTTAGTTTGTTAACAAAGGATAAGTCATTTGTGATCTTAAATTATACTCTGCAATTATTTCTAACAGGACAATTGCTAGCCCTAACATCTACATATAAAGACAGCCGTCTTGACTCTACCTGGATTTATAGCAAGGTTTCTCAGTGCTATCACATAACAAGTAATAAATTAGAGGACAAATAGAGTCCTTTTTTCTGCTACCTTCTTTCTGTCTGCATTCAGTTTCTTTACCTTACAGACCTAATGCACAGATAGACAGCACTAAATGGTTTAAGTGATCTGAGAGAAGAGCTGACTCAAATATCTTTAATACAAAGAGGAACATCCTATGCTCCACTCAAAGGTAGCCAATCTGACTGTCTCAGCCATATGAGCAGTAATTTTAAACCTATTTGGCTTTTCCAAGGGAAAACAACCTCATGTTTAGCATATCAGGGAATGAAGAACTGAATAGAATAAGTCAAGCAGATGTGTCGTGGTTCAGACCCAGTCAGCAATAAAGAACCATGCATCTGCTTGCTCACACCTACCCCCACTCTAGGATGAGGAGGAGAAAATCCAACTCAAGGCTCATGGGCTGAGGCAAAGACAAGAGAGGGTTCACTCACTCTGGCAAAACACTCAACTTGAGGAAAAAATAAATGTAATTGAATCAAAACAGGACAGAGAGAAGACAAAAAACAGAGCTGAAGTATCTCATCCCAACCTCTCCCTTCTTCCAGGGCCCAAAATACATTGTTGCCGATTCCTCTACCTCTACCCCCAGCAGCTCAGGGGGACACAAATGGGTTTATGGTCAGTTCATCACTCATTGTTTTCTGCCACACCTTCCTCCTCAGGGAGGATTCCTCACAGTCTTCCCCTGTGGCACCACAGAGTCTCTCTCAGGGGAAAGAGCCCTTCATGAACGTCCCTCCCACGAGGTGCAGTCCATCAGGAACAGACTGCTCCAGCATGGGCTTCCCACAGAATCATGGCCTCCTTCAGGAACAGTCATCTCCCCTGGCCTGGGGTCCTCTACAGCTATGGGACCACCTCTACTCCACCATGGTCCACAGGCTGCAGGTCCACATCTGCCCCAGCGTGCTCCTCCACAGGCTGTAGGAGGACAGCTGCCATCTCACCACGGGATGCAGGGAAACTCTGCCCAGGCACCTCTTCCCCCTCCTGCCTCACCCACCTTGGTACCTGCTCCAGCCTTCTCTCACCTCCCCCTCTCCTCTGCCCTGAGGTCTCACAGCAGCTCCTTTCCCCTTAAACACCTCCAGGGATGGTGACTCCACCACCTCCCTGGGCAGCCCGTTCCAGTGTGCAACCACTTTCCTTGATTTTATTTTCCTAATGTCCAGTCTAAACTTCCCCTGGTGCAGCCTGAGGCCCTTCCCTCTTGTTCTGTCACTAATTACCTGTGAGAAGAGACCAGCACCAGCCTCTCTGCTTTTAGGTAGTTGTAGAGACTGATGAGGTCTCCCCTCAGCCTCCTCTTCCCCAAACTAAACATTCCCAGCTCCTTCAAGCGTTGCTCATAAGATTTATTCTCTAGGCCCTTCCCCAGCTTTGCTGCCTCCTCTGTCCTCGCTCCAGCACCTCGAGATCTCTCTTGA